CTAGCAACCTCCCTGTGGGCTCCCAATTTCATTTCCTCCTTCACTTTTCTCTTATCAGTCCTGCCTCTTAGGGCCTGAGGCCTCATGGGGAATGTGTTTCCTAATCAGATTGGGCTGTTTCCACAGAACATTTGAAAATGGAGGCTTCTCCTCATCTCACCCCTACTCCAGTAGAATTATGTTGTATTTTTGTATTTTGGAGGAGTTGATTCACAGCTCCGGGCAGTCTTTCCTGACACTCCAGTGGAATGATTAGGGCAGCCAAACCAGATGGCTTTTCATCACGGGGCCTGGGTCTTCATTCCCTAGCTTACTCTGTTTTGCTTGATTGAGGCTTTCCCGTTTTTGTCACATGGTCGCCACCATTTCACGCCCTGCTCCCTCTTCACCCCACTCTGAGCTCTGTGGTTACTCCATTGGCCCTGGCATATTTGCTGACAGCAGCTGCTTTCCCAGTAAACACCAGAGTAGTTGGCATTGGAAAAAACCATCCAGTGTAAGGGAGCTGCTTTCCTTTCTGTTGCGTGCTCCTCTGAGTGTTAAAAAGCAGCAGTTTCAAGCACATAACTTTAAATTGACTGTTATATAAATTAAAACTAATGATCTGCTGAAGTGAGTTGAGCTTTCATTATCTGAGATGAAATGTTTTAGTGGTTTTTCTGGAGAACACCACCTACTCTTATGTTCATCCAATCACACTGAAACTCAGGCAAAGAGGGAAGTAGCCAAAAGCTCAGTGCCTCCCCTGGTCCAAGACCCTGTGCCCAACAGAAGACAACTTCGAAACTGACGTGCTTTTGAAAGATGAAACTTAACTTGGGAAGAACCCACCTGGCCCCTGGGGTTAATCTAATACAGGATTTTTTCACCTTTTTATATTCTGGACCCCTTTGGCATTCTGGTGAAGCCATGGACCTCTTCTCAAAATCATATTGCAAAATGCATTAAATAAAATACAGAGAATTGCAAAGGAAACCAATCATATTGAAATAAAGCTATCAATTTTTTTTTAAAGTTCACAGAGCCCAGTGCAAGAATCCCTGCTGTCATACATAGTGCTAATGGAATTGTTCCTCTTTTACATGGAAAATCAAGATCACACATTAGTACCAGAAATGAGATTCAAACCCATGATTTAGTTGGTAGAGAGCTAGAGCTGGGTTTGGCAAGACCAAATCTTGATTGGTTCAAATCTAGCCCTACACTCTTGCAAACTGTGTAACTAATCCATCCTCCAAGAAGCTTGCTAAATTGATTTTTCCAACATAGTTGGTTGAAAACAAACAAAAAAACCCCAGTGGTTTCCTATTATCTCCCAGAATTACACATAAACTCCTGTATTTGGCATTTATGTTTCTAGGATCCATTGCAGTCTAACTCTTCCACAGCCCCTCTTAATTCCAGTGCTTTCCCTTTCTTAATTATCTGTCCATCCTATATTTGTTTACTTATGTCTCCCTTGTTAAATTGCAAGCTCCTTGACTGTCCTTTGCATCTCTTTTGTATCCCTAGCCCTGAGCACTGTGCCTGGCACAAAGGAGATGCTTAATAAATGTTTATAAATTCCCGACTTCTGGAAAAAGCCTTTTTAGCTCCCTCCTTAATGTTATTGCTTTCCCTTTGTTGCTTATCTCCCATTTACATGGTAGGTAGATTATTTGTATGCAGGTTGTTTTCTTTTGTTTTTGTTTTTTTGTCTCCCCCCTTAGACAGGGCAGGTACATGGTGCAGTGGATAGAATGCCAGAATCAGAAAGACTCCTCTTCCCAAGTTCAAATTGGGCCTCAGACATTTACTAGCCAGGTGATCCTAAGCAAGTCACTTAACCTAATTTACAGGCATATATCTAGAATAATATAATTCATTGCTCCGTGATATACTTGACAAGTAATGGAGTAGTTTGTATACAATTTTTTTTTATATTTTCCTGTTTCTTACATCACCATAGTATCTCATGTATCCCTCTCCCTGCCCTACATCAAGAGCTATCACAAATGACACCATCACTCTATGATAAATAGTATTTTTTTAAAAGAAGGAACATGACTGATAAATACATTGGAAAAGTCCAAAAACGTTTGCCATGTGCCAAGGACCTCCTACGTCCTCGAAGAGGTAGTGTTGGGGGAGTCTTCCCCATTTTCAAGTACCACTTGATCTTCATAATTTGATTTCATTTACTTTTGAATTTTAATGTGTCATTGTTCTTTCCATATACATTGTTGTAGTTACTGTGTCTGGTATTTTCCTGGCTCTGCTTACTTTGTTCTGCATCAGTTCATTTAGCTCTTTCCATGCTTCTTTGTATTCAAACCACACACATCACTTCTTACAGCACAGTAACATTCCATTACATTCATGTACCACAATTTGTTTAGCCATTTCCCAATTGATAGCCATCTTAGTTACAATGAAAATTGCTACTGTAAATATTTTGAAATGTATGGGGACATTTTTCATATCAATGGCTTCCTTGGTGTATAAGCCCAGTAATGAAGTCCCTGGTTCAATGGGTGTGGACATTTTAGTCTCTATTTCCATGCTTCCAAGTGGTTTTACCATTTCACAGCTCTACCAACAATGCAGTAATGTGCCTATTTTTCCACAACCCCTCCAACCTTGACTATTGCCTTATTTTGTCATTTTTGCCAATTTGAAGGGTATGAGGAGGAACCTCAGGGTTGTCTTGATTTGCATTTCTCTTATTATGAGTGTGTGGGGTTTTCAGGGAGGACTAGGACCTCTAGTGTGAGGGCTAGCCAAGCCCTTTCAGGGATGCTCATCCACCTTTGGTGTCTACCAGGCACCCAACTCTCACCTGTGGCTCCAAGAAGCTGTACCACGTACAGTGGCCATACCCTGGGTAACCATTTGAGCAGACAGGCTAAACCCGACTGTGGGTAATTGACAGGACTCAAATCAGTTGGTGAGTTAAAAGAGTGTCTACTCCGAGGATGTGAAGGCTTCCCTTAGCAGAATGGGTGGATGAGAACAAATTGTTCCAACGACCATGAAAGTGACTGACACAGGTGCTGTGGAGCGCTTAGGGCTCGGTCAGACATCGAAGACACCGCATCCTGAGCCATCGCTGGTCGTCCTGACTTTTCTTCTGCCACTGGACTTCAGTGACTCTGGAAGAAAGAGTGAGGCCAATTACTTTATGACACTTTGCCTCACTTAAATCTAATCCATGCGTGAGTCAAGATATCAACCCATGATGTCATTGGTCCTATTCGAAAAGGATGGACAAGCAACATCAGTGATTTACAGCATTTTTTTCATGTGTTCGTGAATACTTTGCAGTTCTTCTTTTGAGATTGATTTATTCATATTACTTGACCATTTATCTGTTAAAAACAAGATCTGATGCAAATATTTTTTCCCTTTTGACCATTCCCTTTCTTATCCTAGGTGCATTCATGTTGTCTGTACAGAAGCTTCTCAGTTTCACATGATCAAAGTTATCTGTTTTCTCTTTTGTAATTGCCTCTATCTCTTGCTTAAGAATACATCTCTTACCCATAGCTGTGAGAGATATGCCATCTGTTTCTCTTCAAAAAAAAATTTTATAGCATGATCTTTAATTTTAAAGACACTTCCATTTAGAATCTTTTATGGAATATGGTGCAAGATACAGGACTAAGCCTAATTTCTGCCAGACTGCTTTTCAGTTTTCCCAAAAGTTTTTATGAGATAGGGAGATATTCAAACACTAGGCTATTGTTTCTGAACTTCCCTTGTCTAGTCAGTCACATTCATCTTTCTGTTCTCTTACCAATGCTAGATTGTTTTGATGACTGTTACTTTATAATATCGTTTGAGATCTAGAAGTACTATTCCTCCTTCATCCCAATTTCTTCCCATCATTTCCCTTCTTCATCGCTTTCTTTTGTTTTTCCAAATGAATTTCATTATTTTACCAAGCTCTGCAAAGCATCCTCTTTGTAATTTGATTGATATCACATTACATGTGTAAAGTAATTTCAGTAGTATTATCATTTTTATTATATTGGCTGGGACCAGCCATGAACACTGAATATTCCTTTAGCCATTTAAGTTATTCTTTGTTTCTTGAAGGAGTGTTTTATAATTTAATATAAAAAAATCTTGTGTCTGCTTTGGGAGATTGATCCCTAGGTATTCTGTGCATTTTGTAGTTATTTGGGATTGGGTTTTCTTATTATGTTTCATTATTATTATGTAGAAATGCTATTGAATTTTTGAAGATTAATTTTGTAGTTTGTGACTTTCCTAAAATTTCTAATTGACTTAATTAATATCTTTACTGAATTACTGGGGTTTTCCACGTAAACATGGAATCATTGTTAATGAGAATTCCTGAGCAAGAGTGGAGAACTGTTTTATATACCCCCCCTTTTTTTTTAAGGGACAATGGCAAGTCTAGATTTGTAATTTAATTATTGTATGGAATTCCCAGTGTAGAAGCTCCCTCCATTAACATACATCTGTAATTTCTTTTTAGTTTACTGTCTTTGGGGGTTGCCTTGATCATTCAGTGGTTTTTTACCTACTCCCACTCACAGGAATAATATGTGTCAGAGGAAGGATTTAAACCTAGATGTTCTTGTCTCCAGTGCCTTCATCCTTCTATTAAAATCACAGAGAAGTTAATTTCCTAGTGTGTAGTTCTGTTACAGTTTGATTTTGTATTACTACAGAAACCTTTTTAGAGTTTAGTATGGGGGCCAGTATCTTGATCTTAAAACTTGCAATCTAAATAAAACTTAGAGAAGATCAGTGGAATGTAGCATCACAAAAGTTAAGTAAATACTATAAAAAGTCACCTTATGATGTTAATATGAATAGAACTTTTTCTGTACCATCCCTGTCAAGTTAAGATAGTATATTTCTAGTTGTTTGGGTATATCTAAGCATTAATAAATCCTCCTGAATTTGAATTATTATATACTCTTGTTTATTCCCCAGACATATAACAAAATGTATATTTTTACATGTCCTTATTTTTTTCTCCCAAACAGATAAACAATCAGATATTATATGGAAGAAGCCACCAAAATGCATCTGCCATTATTAAGACAGCCCCAACCAAGGTCAAGTTGGTTTTCATAAGGTAAGCCAAGGACATTTGTTTTCCCTGAATTTCCTCAGATTCCTTTGGGAGACCCTCATCCTTTATGCACCTACCTGACTGGTCTCAGATTTACAAGTGTTTGAGATGTCTATTTGCTGTGATTTTAATAGTTGGTGGTGTTGATTGAGTGAAAAGTACAGGATTTCATGGTAAGGAATCAAGTCATGTCATCTCTCTAGGTCTGTTTTCTTATGTAGCAAAATGGAAATAACCATCTTGCCCTCCTACCTCTGTGTCCTTGAGAATGAGATGCCTCATGAGCCTCCATGTGCAGTTGAAATCTGAGTCATCATTATTGCTGATGGGCATAAGGCTCTTCCCTTCCCCTCCAAGGTCTCAGGGCCTTTGCTACTCTCTTGCTGTTGTTCTATGAACAAATTCTTCCTTAACCAGACAATGGGGGCAAGACAGAGGAAAGAAAACGAAACTCCATGTAGCTTTATGTTAGTAGTTCTAGCAAATGATCTGTTTAGGGAGAAGTCGCCGTCATTGGTCAAAATTGGATTGTGTCATTTCTGAGGGCATCATTTGTCTGTGCTCCCCTCTTCATTCCTCCCAGCTCCCCAGTGACTAGGCCATGGATTTAGGGCAAGCAGGGAGGGGCCTTAAGTGTCTTAAGGTCTAACATCACTCATTTTAGAGGTGAGGGAACTAGAACTCATAACAGTGAGCTGACTCACCACTGGCACAGGTGGTATTCAACGTGGACCTCTTGACTCTAAGTCTTGCATTTTTTTCTGTGCTTGATTATAAAAGAAAGTGAGAAGTTAGGGTGATTTTTTTTTTCCTCGTCTATAAATTTGTGATATGACTCACCTGTCTCCCCAGATAGAATGGGAGTTCTTGGGGAGGTGGCACCGTAGCATCATCTGCTTGTGTAATTGTAGACTTGGCAGGTACCTTCGGGGCCATTTGGATTAGCTCATGCTTGAATAGCAATTCCATTTAGTCTTCCTGCACTGTCTGAAGGTCTTTCCTTCTTGAGTGGGAAGCCACTGTGTTCTGAACCAGACCATTCCATTTTGTAACTGCTCTCATTTTTAAGGAGGCAGCGAGGTGGTGCAGTGCATAGAGTGCTGGGCCTGGAGGTGGGAAGGCCTGAGTTCAAATCCCGTCGTAGACAGTTAGTAGCTGTGTGACCCTGGGCAAGTCACTTAACCTTGTTTGCCTCAGTTTCCTCAACTGTAAAATGAGCTGGAGAAGGGAATGGCAAGCCCCTCCAGTATCATCATTAATAATGGAATTGTCATTTAAAGTAATCACTACTAATTTGGCAGCTCAGTGCCTCAGTGGGTAAGAGTTCTGCATTCATCAGGAAGACCTGAGTTCAAATCCTGCCTTGGATATTTTCAGGCTCAGTTTCCTGATCTGTAAAATGGGGTTAATAATAGCACCTCTGTTCCAGGATTGTTATGAGAACATTTAGACAGCACTGTCTAAACCTTAAAGTTATACAGTCTGCTATTACTAGCAATTCAATAGTGTCTCAGTTGGATGTCTTGTGTTACTGTCAAGGACACCACTGAATTCTAAAAGAATATTGCGAGGGCATACATGTTCTTGATGGTCCTGTCGATCTGGCTGGGCTGGAGTAGGAATCTTGGTAAGGACCAGACTTTCTGCCTCTGTGTACACTTTATGCAAAGGCATGACCCAAGTGCTGGCTCTGCTTTTTGGGCAACTTGGTTGAGCTGGATGTAATCTGTTCCACTTTCTTCATTTTACAGTTGGGGAAACTGAGACCCAATCAGCAGATATTTATTAAGCACCTACTATGTGCCACTCTCTGTATTAGGTACTAGGGGAATAATAAATCCAAAGAATTAATCCCAGGTCTCAGTGTCCTTACATTCTAATGGGGGAGGTAACAACTAACTATAACAGTACACTCTACACACACACACATACGCACGTGAAATATATATACAATGTATTTAAAGTCAGTATACACAAAATACTTTCATACAAGGGAGGTTACAAAGGAGGACACCAGCAGTAGGGGGATCAGAAAAGGCTTCTCCTAGAAGGGGATGCTTGAGCTGCTTCTAAAAGGCATGGAGGGGCAATGTGACACAGTGCCAAAGAGGAGTCTGTACCACACACGGAGGGTGGCCAGTGCAAAGTCTTGGAGTATTGGGATTAAGGAACAGAGTGAGGCCCAGTTTGGCTGGATCACAGTATGATGAAGAAATACTAATGAGCAATGAGGCTATGTGGATAAACTGGGACCAGGTTATGTAGGATTTACGAGCTAAACAGAGGCGTCTTTATTTTATGGTCGGGGCAATGGGAAGCCACTAGAGCTAGTTCATTATGGAAGTCCCATGACACTGTGCTTCAAAGGAAATCACTTTGGCAACAACGACATAGAATGAACTTGAGGCAGAGAGGTTAGTGAGAAGGCTGTTGACCTAATCTGAATGAGTGATGATGCGCTGATGATGAAGTCTGAGCTAAGCCAGAGGCTGTAGGAGTTGGGACAAGGGGATGGATGCAAAGGATGTCCTGAAGATGCAAATGGCAAGACTTGGCAACTGGTTGTCTTTGTGGAGAGAGGCCAACATTACAGATGTGGGAGAGATGTTGGGAGGTTGGTGGTGATTTAAACAGAATTACAGAAGTTTAGGGTGTTGGGGGAGGTGGGAGGGAAATGAGTTCGATTTTAGAAACACTGAGTTTCTGATGTCTTTAGCACATGCAGTTGCGGGGGTAGGTGAGGAGGGGATGTGTACAGCCTTCATTTATTTATTTCCCTCAATTACAGGCAAACAAAAAATTTTACATTCATTTGTGAAGTTTTTTGAGTTCCAAATTATGTCCCCTATCATTAAGAAAGCAAGCAGTTTGATAAAGGTTATACATGTGCAGTCATGCGAAGCATATTTCCATATTAGCCATGTTGTGAAAGAATATGCAGACCAAAAGAAAAGTGAAAGAAAATTTTTTAAAAATCCAGTATGCTTTGATCTGCATTCAGATCCTATCAGTTCTTTTTTCTGGAGGTAGCATTTTTCGTTATAAGTACTTTGGAATTGTCTTGAAACATTGTATTGCTGAGAATAGCTAAGTCGTTCACAGTTGATCATCATACAGTTGTTGCTATTACTGTGTATAGAGTTCTCCTGGTTCTGCTCACTTCACTTTGCATCAGTCCATGCAAGTCCTACCAGGTTTTTCTCAAAGCATCCTGCTCATCATTTCTGATATCAGAATAGTATTCCATTACATTCATATACCACAACTTGTTCAGGCTTTCCCCAGTTGACAGACTTCCCCTCAATTTTCCAATTCTTTGCCACCACAAAAAGAGCTGCTATAAATAAATAAATAAAGGTCCTTTTCCTTTTAATTTGATCTCTCTGTGATACTGACCTAGCAGTGATGTTGCTGGGTCAAGTGATATGAACACAGAAATGCACAGTTTTATAGTCCTTTGGGTATAGTTCCAAATTGTTTTCCGGAATGGTTGGATCAGTTCACAACTCCTCCATCAGTGCATTGGTGTCCCTGTCTTTCCACATCCCCTTCAACATTTGTCATTTTCCTTTTCTGTCATATTAGCCAATCTGATAAGTGTGAGCTGGTACCTCAGAGGTTTTTTAAACTTGCATTTCTCTCATCAATAGTGACATAGAGCATTTTCTCACATGAATAAAGATAGCTCTGATTTCTCCTTCTGAAACGGCCTGTTCATATCCTTTTATCAATTGGGGAGTAATTTGTGTTCTTATAAATTTAACTCATTTCTCTATGTATTTGAGAAATGAGGCCTTTGTCAGGGAAGTTTGTTGTAAAAATCTTTTCCCAGTTTCCTGCCTTCCTTCTAGTCCTTGAGGGCGGGGACTCGGTGGGGGCCGGTTCTTGTTTGGTTTTTCCTTTGCCTTTCTTTGTCTCTCCAGGACTTACCGCAGCATCTGATGTGATAAATGTGGATTGTTATCGTGCTATTCTGTTACAGCTATGCCTTTAAACTCCAGACTCAACTATAACAGACCATGCCTTTGGAGAACCTAAGCCATTGGGTTCTGTCCTCCCTAAGTCTCTCCTCTCTTCCTCATCACCATGCACCTTGTCCCTTTTCTACTTCTCTCTCTAATAATAGAAATAAAATGGGTAATACCATTGCCACTGGGGGGCAGAACCCACTTGCCAATTTTCTGCCCTCTTTCTCCCATTGCCATCTGTTTTTGGAGACTGTAACTCTTTTTTTCTGGCCGTCTCCACATCTTGTCTCACCCATTACAGTAAAAGCTCTGTGAAGGCAATGGCTATCTTTCTTTTGTGTTTGTATGACCAGTCTCTAGCATAAGGTTGGGCACATAGGAAGGGTTCAGTAGATGCTTGTTATTCATTCGTTATTGTTACCAGTAATCCTTACAGCTGAGTATCTCCATCTATGCAGCACTTTACATCCTACCCAAAGTAGCCGCTCCTTAAACAGTGATTTCATCGCCATTCTTCCGATGAGACATGGTGTACGAGAATGAGTATCACCTCCGTCCCACTGGACCTGTTTCCTCCCATAGACTATGAAAAAGTTAGACTCAGTGACCCCTAAGGAGCCTTCCAGATCAAAATAGACTTTGATTCCCTGAGTTCCAATGACTTGTTCTTTTTTTTTTTCCTATCTCAGAGTGTTTTTACGACTTCTGAAAAATTCTGTAAGTTTTGAACTCTGGCTCTTGGCATTTCTGCAGCTTTGTTGGAAGTAGGTCTCTTTATACTTACAAAGAAATAATTCACTGAGGAAGCTAATGGGTCTCTGCAAGACTAGTTTGGTGGTAAATGTGAAATTCATAAGACCGTCTCCTTGAAGCACTTTAGAAAGAGCCTCTTCTTAACTCCAAGGTCCACCTGTTCTTGTAGGATGGCCAAGCCAAACCCTCGAAAGAGCAAAGGATCCCGAAATACCAGAGTTGAAAGGGAGATTGAGGCCTGTCTAATAGTACCTGTACCTGTAACAGAATCTCTTCTCTTAC